CTGGGTTCAAGCAATTCTCCTGTCTTAGCCTCCCGAGTAGCTGGGACTACAGGCGCCTGTCACCAAGCCCGGCTAATTTTTGTATTTTTAGTAGAGACGGATTTTCACCTTGTTGGTCAGGCTGGTCTGGAACTCCTGACCTCAGGTGATCCACCCGCCTTGGCCTCCCAAAGCGCTTTAAATTTTTTAACTGACTCTTGAAATAACACTTCACTTAAAACACATGGTACAGCTATCCACAAATATTCTTTCTTCATATCCATATTCTGCGAGCTTTTTTCTATTTAATAAAATTTTTACTTTTTAACTTTTTTTTTTGAGATGGAATCTCTGTCACTGGAGTGCAGTGGCACGATCTCGGCTCACTGCAACCTCCGCCTCCCTGGTTCCAGTGATTCTCCTGCCTCAGCCTCCCGACTAGCTGGGACTACAGGCACATGCCACCATGCCCAGCTAATTTTTGTATTTTTAGTAGAGACGGGGTTTCACCATGTTGGCCAGGATGGTCTTGATCTCTTGATCTTGTGATCCACCCACCTCTGCCTCCCGGTGCTTGGATTACAGGCATGGGCCACCGCACCTGGCCTTACTTTTTAGCCTTTTTTAAAAAAACTAAAACACACATTATGCTAGGCTTACACAGGGTCAGGATCATCAATGTCACTGTCTTCCGCCTTCACATCTTGTCCCACCAGAAGGTCTTAAGGGGCAATAACATGCATAGAGCTGTCATCTGCGGTGATGACAGTACCTCCTGAAATACCTTCTGCAGGACCTGCCTGGGACTGTTTTTCAGATAACTTTTTTTTTTTTTTTTTTTTTTTTGGTAATAAGTAGAACACACATACTGCAAAAATAAATAGTAAATACATAAACCAGTAATAATTTATTACCAAGTATTATGTATGGTACATAATTGTATGTACTATACTTTTATACAACTGGCAGCAGAGTATGTTTGTGTACACCAGCATCACCAGAAACACATAATTCACTGGGCTAGGATGTTACAATGGCTACGATGTCACTAGGTGATAGGAATTTTTCAGCTCCATTATAATCTTATGAGACCGCGATCCTATATGCAGTCCATTGTTGACCAAAATGAGGCAACATTATGCAGTGCATGACTAATGAATATGGATAATGTAGGAGTTTTGGAGGGCTGAAGTGAAACAAATTTTGTAGCTTACACACATTGCTTATCTGCTGCTCCTTTGGGATGAGGCGGCAGTTGGGCCTGCAGTTGTTCCACTGTCCCCAGATCCTCCTTCAGCTTCTCAGACTCCTTGGCCAGCTATATTTTGCTCCATGATGAAGTGTCCTGGCTTTGGAAGGACATCCATGCCACCAAGGTCAGAAGCAGTGAGATCTGACCAGAGTTTCAGTCCATGTTTGTGGGTTCCAGCTTGTGCTTGTGGCTGGTTCCAGCTTATTCCTAGTGCCACCATCCCTCTCACAATCATTCACCTTTGCTTTCCAACTGCCTAAAATGAACTTCAACCTCCAGCATCAGATGCAAAGATGAAGCCTTACAAACTGCTTAACCAGGTCTCACCATTGTTGATGTCACCTCTCTGTTAAAAAGTGTATCTTCTAGTGGTTCTGCTTCTCTGAATCCTGACTGATATATTAATTTTGTGGAAAGATAAATATGTTCTTAATCTACTTGATGCTTGTCTTCCAAAGCTTGGCATTTAAATGAACTTTTTTTTTTTTTTTTTTTTGAGATGGAGTCTCGCTCTGTTGCCCAGGCTGGAGTGCCTGCCTCCTGAGTTCAAGCGATTCTCCTGCCTCAGCCTCCCAAGTAGCTGGGATTACAGGTATGCACCACCACATCCAGCTAATTTTGTATTTTTAGTAGAGATGGTTTCATATTTTTATTAAGATGGTTTCACCACCATGTTGGCCAGGATGGTCTCGAACTCCTTACTTCAAGGAATCCACTCACCTCAGCCTCCCAAAGTGCTGGGATTGCAGGCGTGAGCCACCGCACCCAGCCCTAACTAGCTTTTTCTTAAAAAAGACATCATGGTACTAATTTTAGTGACAGTGCATTGCAAAAATAACCTTTAATTGAGAAATCTGAGAATGATGTGAATGTGTCACTTCTATTATTTATGTAAGAACATTTTATTGGTCACCTAAAAATATTAGTCGTATCAGACTCTAAATTGCCTTAAGACTGATAAACATTGGCCGGGCACGGTGGCTCATGCCTGTAATCCCAGCACTTTGGGAGGCCAAGGTGGGCAGATCACAAGGTCAGGAGACGGAGACCATCCTGGTCAACATGGTGAAACCCTGTCTAGTAAAATTACAAAAATTAGCTGAGCATGGTGGCGCATGCCTGTAATCCCAGCTACTCAGGAGGCTGAGGCAGGGGAGTTGCTTGAACCCGGGAGGCGGAGGTTTCAGTGAGCCAAGATTGCTCCACTGCACTCTAGCCTGGCGACGACCATGACAGAATTAAACTCCGTCACTCACACACACACACATGACTGCTGACCATCTTCTATGATAAACCTTAAGTATATTCTAAGGAATATTCCCACTGATAAAAGAATTGTCATGGTACTCACCTGTTTGCTAACAATGTCTAAATAAATTTCACATATACTTTGACATAAAACGAAAATGAGAATAGAAACAAAACTGAGTAAAACAGGTTGAAATTTGAAATATCTACCACTCCAAAATTGTCTCATTGAGAAATTTAGAAAGGTATAATTACTACTTCCGCTAATAAAACTTTAATAGACATTCTGAATGCTTTTAAAAGTACGAGTAACAATTCCATTACACCCATATTTAATTAAAATACAACTACATGTACTTGATTAGAAAAAATAGTTCAAGCAGCACAGGAATGAAATGCATTCGTTGGTTTTGAGGCAGACTGAGGGAAAAGAAATCTCAATTCCATTTGAAAAGATGTGTACCACTACAAACAGCATGCATGGATCCAACCCTTCATCTAGTGCCAAATTGAAAGTGATGAATTTTGCTAGAGATAAATTTGATGTATTGGTAATACTGTAATCTTTATGACATAAGCTGCACAATGCACACTCCAGAACCTGACTCAGTTTTAAGATGTAGCTCCAAGGTTAACAGTAATTTTTATCCTCTACCTCCTTTAATTCCTTTTCCCAAGTGCCTATTTACATTTTTCTATCTTCCATGTATAGAATTACCACTAGGAAACTTACCTAAGATTCATCTTCATGAAAACATTAAGGGCAACACAGCCTTTTCAATAAAAGGTATGCAATTTATTTTGTGGTTTTAACATTATCCCCTGCACAAATTATTAATTACACAACTTTTAAGGGCCCCATAATCAAACAGCAGCTATCATTTAATGTCCCAGGCACCAAAGGCTACATTTTAAAAACTACTGTTTTACAGATACAGATGGGGTCTTGCTGTTACCCAAGCAGGAGTGCAGTGGCATGATCATAGTTCACTGCAGCCCCAACTCCTTGGGTTCAAAGTGATCCTCCTGCCTCAACCTCTACAGTGGCTAGAACTACAGGTGTGCATCACCACACCTGGCTATTTTTTTTTTTTTTTTGTAGACAGGGTCTTGCTATGTTGCCTAGGCTGGTCCTGGGCTCAAGCGCTCCTGCCTTGGCCTCCCAAAGTGTTGGGATTACAGGCATGAGTCATAGTGCCCAGCCAACAACTTTTATATGCACTGGGAAGCCAAAAAAATTCATGACCTGCTTTATTGCAGTAGTCTGGAACGAAACCCACAATACCTCCGAGGTATGTCTGTACTTTACAAGGTAGCAATCACTTCCATTTTACCCCTAGGAAACTGAAGGTAAGGAACAGTTACCCCAGCTCTATGAAATAAAGACCAAATGCATGACTGGACTCTATCTTTCCATTTAAAAAAGCTCATTGTATAGCTACCACCTCTCATTTACTCCTGAAGAATTTAAGCAAATAAATAAGGACAAAACATTTTTTCTAACAAAAACCACTTTTATTTTTAAATCAATTTACTATCAAATACAGAACAGAACTCGGTGTGGAGGCAGTGTTTTGATTTCAACTGGTTATCTGTTAAAAGGCTTATGTCCCAGTGCAACACTACCTTTGTGCAGAAAATGTTCACTGAAAATAAATATCCTAAGAATGGATAATCTTCAGTGCAGCATCTTGTCAGTGGCACTACTTTTAAAAAAATGATTCCCTTTAGAAAAGCTAGTGTATTTGTATTCAGAGATTACAAGTGAGGGAGCAGACTGTAAATGTTATTAGGTTTACCATACGTGAAATTTGTTTTTGTCTTACAAAAATGGCCATGTCACATGGTTCACCTTTTATCTACTGAAGTTTAAAACAAATGTCATTTGTGTTCAACTTTGTTTTTTAAAAATGCAGTGATTAGGACCATTATTAGAACTTCTTTTACTCACTATAGACAAAATTCCTTTTGATAAAATCTTTAAAAAGTTACTACAAACCATAAAAACAATGCTGCTTATATGGCATTTCAGTTTTTAGGTTAAAAAAAAAATTCTATTTATACTCAAAACTTGGATAAAAGCTACAATTCCAAGTCTCATTTTCCCTTAACCCCATCCACCCAAACACTACTCATTTCATAAATGAATACACTATTTAGTACTGTACAGTAAATACATATCATTGACAGCTTCTATACTACTCCAGAAAAGGCAAATATCTATATTCACCGAAAATATAAATTTGCTAAATATAGGTGGGATTTGTTTATACTAAAGTTCATTGCTTTATCCAACCCTATTCTCACACAAAAAATAAGCAGTAAAATGATACTAAGCTAAGAAAAGGACTGTTTTGGATAGAAATTAAATCATTTTTGACAATTTTGATGGCAATTATCACTACAGTGATAGACTTCCTCTTTTTACTATACTGAAACATGTGGACAGAAAGGGAAATAATTTGTAAAATGAATGAGGTAAATGTCATACATTCAATAGTGTAAATAAATACAAATACGGTTTTACAGGAACATGAACATAAGTTTAAGGGTTTTATTATCAAAGTCTTGTAAAACAATTTCAGAAACTGTACATCAACATGGCACAGACTGTAGCCTACTTTTGTTTCTACTGCACAAAAGTGAAGCCTGACACTTCTGTAACTAAGAAAACAGTTGCCTAACTACTTTGCATATATAACATGAAATCACCGTGTGCATAAGATTACTACTGCAGTAACACAAATTTATTGGTTTTATACAACTTGAGATCAAATAAAGGTACATTATCAAGTAGATTTGTCTTATTTTAAAAGCATATGAAGGTCAACTTAAAATGCACTACCCCTTTTTTCCAACACAGAGCTTAAAACAAATTAATCAAAGAGTGGAAAATTAAAAATAAAGGCAAGAGATAAGTTTTTTTTTTTTTTTTCCCTTTAAGATGGACTCAGGATAGGTAGATAGCTTTCACTGATGTAGATGTGGAATAAATTATTACTTCAGGAAAAAAATTCCCAAACATTGTATGAAAAAGTATACAACTCTACTTCAAAATATGCTATTTACTCACTGCCAAAGACAGTTTTATTTGAAATCTTGTTTCTGTATTTAAACCCTAATTAGCCACCAAAAAAGGTTAGTGCATAATAACCTTTCAAAGTTAAATAAAAGCCACAAAAATTTTGCCACAAGGCTTAAAGGATTATCTATTTCAAATGCTCATTTCCAGATGTAACTATAAGAATGTTAATTTCTCATGTCAACAAACAAGACCATAAGCAGATCCATCATGTTGGAGGATTTTAATGACATTTAGGATATTCTTGCCACAATAACATGCAATCAGTGCATTTCCTACATGGCCCTATTACGGTAATGAATCAAATTATAGAAATACTATAAGTGAACTTACTTAATAAAGGAGATCATACGACATAAACAATCCATGCCTGCTGTATGTAGATGCATGCAGCTTTTCATTTTTGTTATGAAGCAGCACCAGAATAGTAAAACTGCTTGGTTACTCAATCAGATTTCACCATGACAAGAATTGGTTACCTCGTACCATTTTCTAAAAGCTTTTTTGATGTAAATAACTAATATCAGTAACAGGAGCTTTATAACCATTTATAACTCAGAGCTGTATACATCTAGGTTTGAGATGAACAAATACAGCATTAAGAAATCACACAAAGGAATGACACTGATGCAGGTATACAGTTGGATTCCCACAGAGGCAATATTCAGTCACTCATATCCATGTCTTCTTCATGATGATCATCCCCATTCACTTTGGATTCTCTTAGTGAATCACCAGTTCCCTTTTCCACAGAACATTCCTTTGTTTTAGGGGAACCTGTTTCTATTGGTTTCTTCTCTTCCTTTTTCTCTTTCTCACTGTCATACCCCTGTTCTTCTTCATCATAATCCCGTGTAACCTGCTTTGCCAAGGAGAATAATACAAGTAAACTTCTCCAAAGAAAAATAACTTCTGAAAGTACCAACATCAACCCAAATATAAAAATAAATCAATTTGTAAACATACTTTTACATCTTTATCACTCTCTGATTTTCTTTCCCGGTCCTTTTCCTTATCTTTACTCTTCTTCTTCTTGCTTGTTGATCGTTCTCTTTCATCCCTACTTCTTTCTTTGTCTTTATCTTTCTTCTTCTCCTTTTTATGTCTAGAATGACAGTAAAACGTGCAGCAACAGGTTTAACTTGTTTAGATAAGCCTGACCCAACTTCACAGGATGTAAGTAGTACAGCAAAGATCCAACTTCAAAATCTTGGACCATCAAAGTACACAAGTAACATAGGCTACAAAACTAACTTGGTTACAGGACTAAAGTGTTCAATCCTTCATGGTGTTTAAGTCACAAGTCAGAAAGAGAATACATTAAAATATTCTTAGGAACTGTAACTGCTGAAAAGAAAAACTACAGGACAGTTTTAAAAGGAAAAACCTCTGAAAAATACAAAAATATTTTTAAATGATTAACATTCTTACCTCCTAGGGGATGGTGAGCGAGACAATTTTCTTTTAGGAGACCGAGGCTTTTTAGGAGATCTTGTTCCACTCCTGCTCCTTCGTCGTCGTCTCTCTCTAGAACCACAAATGTGTAAACTAGGTTTTAAAATACAGTGTGATCTTAAAAATGCAGACACATCATAGATGGTTCTAACAATGAAAGATGCGGCCGGGTGTAGTGGCTCACGCCTGTAATCCCAGCACTTTGGCAGGCTGAGGTGAGGGGACTGCTTGAGCCCAGGAGTTCCAGACTAGCCTGGGCAACATGGTGAAACTGTCTCTATAAAAAATACAAAAAAATTAGCCAGGTGTGGTGGTGCATGCCTGAAGTCCCAGCTACTCAGGAGGCAGAGGTAGCAAGATCACTTGAGCCTGGGGAGGTTGAAGCTGGAGTGACTTGTGATAGGGCCACTGCACTCCAGCCTGGGCAAGAGAGAGAGAGACCCTGTCTCAAAAAACAAAAAACAAACAAACAAAAAAAACCGATAAATGAAAGATTGTTTCACAATACTGGTATGAGCTAAACAATTAAATGAGTAATATAAACATCTGCAAACCATGTACCTTTCCCTTTACTACCCTCAAGAAAACTCCTAATTCCTAGCAATTCTTTTAACTGCTGACAAAATGTTAGAAATAGTAAGCTTAAGAAAAAACTGATTTAACAAAACTAATGTGAGAGGGGTGACGTGTGAAGTAAACTATTACTGAAGAAGTTAGTTTTTGGTTCAAACATTCAGTGTTCAAAGTAAGTACAGAATAATTCAATAATGTGATACAGAAGGTAGTTACTAATAAAATATCCCCATATTCACCTTTAAATCATTAGATGAAATTCAGAGAACTAGTTAGAGCAAAGGTAGAAACCCTATACTCTAGCAAAATTGCCCCCCCCAGTACCCCAACAACCCTGCTTTCACCAATTACTTTGAAGATATACAACCTTCCCCTCCTTTTTACTGTGACTTAAAAAAAAATTCTGTTCTTGATTCTCAAAAGTTATTAGACTTAAAAAAACCCTGTACTTAGTTGTCTAGTTTCCAAATGAAGCTTTTTTTCTACTTATATAGCCCTCTGTGATCCCTGTCCTGGAAACAATACACATAACTGAGTATTCACTTATCAAACATTGTCACGACTGTGTACCTTATACTTTTTGCTACTGTCTTGTGTAACTGAAACTCCAAATTCTCTAGATGGAAGAAATATTTTGTATTACATTTCCGTGTCCCTCAATAGACTGTAGCACGACTACAAACACAGTGGGTATTTAATAACTCACAGAAGATGCCTTAATTTAGAGCGACCCAATAATACAGCATGAGAAGGTACTTACATTATATAAAGCAACAGGTTTAAAAAACAAAAAACAAAAAACGCCTCAACAGTTTTTAAGGTAAGAAAATACATGTAGTACTTCCCATCTTTTCTATCTGTCACCTACCCCTCAGGCCTGATGTAGCATTTCCTTCTGTATTTATATTTGGTTTCGTTTTCATCCTTAAAAATTTAGTTTTTAAGAAAATTTTCATCACCCCAAAAACTTCTTAACCTTTAGCTATCACTCCAATCCTCCCTATCTCCCCAGCAATCAGTAATCTACTTGGTATCTTTATGGATTTGCCTATTCTGGGCATTTCATATAAAAGGAATCACGCAATACATGGCCTTTTATGGATGTTTCCAAGTTTCATCCATACTGTAGCCTTTTATGGATGTTTCCAAGTTTCATCCATACTGTAGCATGTATCAATCTTATTTATTGCTGAAAAATACTCAGCTATATAGATATACCATTTTGTTTATCCATTTGTTAATGATATTTGAGTTAACTTTTTGGCTATTACGAATAATGTCACAAACATTCACGTAAAAGTTTCTGTGTGAACATGTTTTCGTTTTTCCCCAAGAGTACAACTGGAGGATCAAAAACCTCTTATGTTTAACATTTTTAGGAAATGCCAGACTGCTTTCTAAAACACCTGTATCAGTCTATATTCATACTAGCAATGCACAGGGTTCCAATTTCCCCACATCCTAATCAACACTTACTGTCATCTGTCAGGCTCGGCTATCATCTGTCTTTAACCATCCTGGTGACTGTGACGTATCTCACTGTGGTCTGGTTTGCATTTCCTTGGTGACTAATAATGTTGAACAGATTTTATGTACTTACTAGATATTTGCATATCTCCCTTGGAGAAATGGCTACAGATTCTTTGCCATTTTTAAATTGGGTTGCCTTTCTATTGCTGAGTTGTAAGGGTTCTTTATATATTCTATATTAAGTTCCTTATCAGATATATAATTTGCAAGTATTTTCTATCTAGCACTTTAGGTTTTTACTTTCTTGATAGTATCCTTTGGAATACAAATGTTTTAAATTTTGGTGAATTCCAAAAATTTGTCTTTTCTTCTGTTTCTTATGCTTTTGAAGTCATATCTAGGAAACCACCAAGCTCATGGTCTCAAAGATTCACTTCTGTTTCCTTCTGAGGGTTTTACAGTTTTGGCTCTTACATTTAGGTCTTTTATACATTTCAGTTAAATTTTTTATATGGCATGAACCTCCTAGTGAATTTAAGTAATGTTGATGAATAAAACAGGCACTGCAGCAAAACATGTGAATGAGATCTGAAAAATGGAATGAAGTCTAGCCCTTATTAATATCATACAAATCCCAAATTAAGGATGAAAATGTGCTTTTCGTGCAGTTTGTGCAATTGAAAGTCTGCAACATTTCAGTTTTCACTGACAGCTTAAAGATAGAATTAGTCTAAGAATGACACAAACCAGAATCTGCATTACTTTCCCATTAATTCAACAATCATTAAAAGGGATAGAAAAATTATCAAGTACTAACATGCAGATGATAAATATAGCTAACTACAATAAACTTTCTTAATGGAACAATTTAGTATGATTTAGCCATTAAAACATAAAACTATAAAGAGAAAAACTCACCTCTGTTGAATTCCATGTTACTTCAAATATACTCTAGACCACAAAATATTAAGTAAAAAGAAAAATAAACTACATTATTCTTCACAAATTGCCTTTGAAAAACTTCAATTATGGCAAAATGTAACTTTTTTCAACACTGAAAATACTTATGTTCTGGAAAAGACTTCATATTCACAGCATACTGATACTGTTAGAAGCAAAGTTAAAAAATAATTGCCAAGAATTCACAATGCCACCTTACCTGCTTGCACTTCTAGAACGTCTGGCTGTGCTGTAACTTTTTGGTGGTGTTTTAGAACGTTTCTTTTCTTTGTCTTCTTTCTTTTTGTCTCTAACAAACGAACACAATTGATCAATGCATTAGAAGACTCAGCTGATGCCAATTTATATAGCACTACATACACAAGAATATAATCAGATCTAATCCCATTCTTAAAAGCATAAATGTTATTCTGACAGAAACTGTTTTAAAAATAATACTTCACATGGCATATCTGAAGTACAGTAACTTCTTTTAAAATCCTATCTTCCTAGGTTTTCTCCTGAGTAGACTAAAGTAGACGATGGGTGAGAAAATAACTAGGATGTTGGCTTGAAATGTCTGGTAAACACCAGTAAGTTAACTGTCTCTAGTCTCCTCAAGACTCCTTTTTCTCTCAGCTTATTACCACTTCCCCAACCCACCTCTCCTATCAGTCCAAAACCCATAGAGCACTACCAAAATCATTCATCAACATCATGAATATTCTTCCAAGACACATATCCCCTGTCAACCTCTATCATGGATCAAACAAGCTTTTATCTTTTTCTGCTGCTATGTATTATGAACTATTCAGGGCTTATTAGAAAAATATCATTAACAGATTGTGACTATAGCCATAACTCAATTTTATTTTTTTACAGATTCCTATAAATTTTTACTCCTCACAATATTTTTTCCCCAAGATCATCATTCTCCCCAAGATGCTGAGCAAAGAGTAGATAAATGATATATATTTGTTGAATGAGAAGTCTCATAACCCCCCTCTTTATTCTCTAATTTTAGGAATCAAAGTATCTCTCTCTTACTGTTCTAAGCTAATGTTTCCACTCTATATTCTCTATTTCATTTTTTTCCCCTTCTTTGGTCATCCTCGGTTCCCTCTTCATTCAGTCTTTATCATTGTTCCCTCTTCATTGAAATCTTTATCATCTAACTCCTGGATTACTCGAACAGTCCCCTAGTAGGTTCCAGTCATGCTTCCCATAAACTGATTCTGTACTCTGTCATGAATCTTTTAAAGTACAAACCTGAAAATATTAATTCCCTGTTCACCATTTTCAACCCATTCCAGTTGCCTCCTGGATCAACGGCATAGTGTGAACAACAAAGCCTTCCATGATCTGTCTCATTATATTTTCCTGACCTCATTTTCTAGTCCTACTACACCAAAATACTGTTATTTCAAGAAACACCCTTCTCGACCTGAAAGCATGCCCCACGTTGAAATCTAGTCAAATCTTTCAGAATTTAATACTCGAGTCATTCTCAAACTTCTTCCAACATCAGCAAGTAGCAATCATCATTTAACAGTTCCTCTCTTGTAACTAAATCCATCACTCCTCTCCTAGCAATCAGAAAGTCCTTCAAGAAATGTTTAATTCCATTGTATAACTGTTCTATTGACCTTGTTTGATTCACTCTGTAGCACATAAGGGTTTAGCAAAGATAGTAAAGCTACCCCCACTCTTGTTCTCATCAGTTGAGTTTTATGCTTCCCAAGAGTAAGTTATGTTGTGTCCCCAGCTATATACTTAATGACATGATTTAACTAAATATATAAATGAACAAAATAATGCCAAATACAGTTGCTTCTAGAAAATTAAGATATTTTAGCAAGAGATAAAAAGCAGTTGCTAAAAAAACTAAGTGCTGTGAAACTGTATGCCTCACAACTATAAATGATTGGGGGCATAGTAATTTAAAAGTGCTTGGCTCTACACAAAAAGACTGGTTTTTGAATGTATTTTTAGATGGAAACAAAACGTTAAGGTGTTTCTTATGAAAGAAGGTAGCAGGACAGCTAACAATTCCTACTACTAAGAAATTTTACTTAGGCCCTCAGCTATAAGCTGAAGTTTCAGTTTATAATGAAGCACCAGAAAAACAAATGTCAGCCTCCTAAACTCAAATATTGACAGTTTCTTCCCCTGTCTAGCCCTATTTCCTTGCCCCCCACCCCAACCACCTCTTTTGTTACTAAGTAGCACAGTAGTGGCGATATTGGGAACCCTAAAATTTGCTTTCTCACCCAATGCTATACCTTGTTTTTGATGTGCTCCTTGACCTTCTACCTCTCTCTCTGGAATGAGATCTTCTCCGTCTTGGGCTTTTGGATCGTCGCCGACTCCTAGACTTAGAATGTGACCGCCGTCTCGATCTGCTTCTTGACCGCCTAATAATGTAAAAGGAAGCCAATACATGCGTATAAATGTAAAAAGACTATAAATTTTGTGCTTAGTATCAGACAAAAGATTCAGACATATGGACTAAACAATTAAATGGGGGATAATTCCCTTCCAGTTGCTATTATTTAGCCCATAGAACAAACACCTTCAACACCTTAGGAATTAGTAATACCTTTTAACACTTGGAATTCCTCACCTTTTAATGATTTGCTCAACTTGTCAGATAGGTCCTTCTATGCCCACTGTACTTACAACTCCAAGGTTGAAACTACTACTAGATCATGAAGGAGAATAAAAATATGACTTATTTGCATCATCTTATACAATTATATAGCATTTTAGCATGTATTTCTTATTTGATTCCTCACTACTGCAGCTTAAACCTTATCATAAATCAAATACTTATATCATACTATATATAAACTATAAATTGGTCTCATTAGTCCATAAATGCCACTATTATTCCTATTTTATAAAGAGAAACCACTTACTGTGTTGCCATCTCCTATTTCAAATTTTTCTCTTAAACAAATTCCACTCCTTTAATCCACAATTTAAGAAACTCCAGGCAATGCAGACATTTTATAAATATATACAATTTGTATAAATTGCCTCTTTTACTCTCTTTTTTCCCTGACATATCTGTTTCTCTACTCCCCACACCGAGCCCCCATCCACTGTGTCCTGACCTGGCTCTTCCAGGACGTAAGAAGCACATTTAACCTTCAGATACTGTCATCCCCCCTACTGCATTAAAATACTCATTCTCCCCCTTTTTTTTTTAAGCGATGGGATTTTGCCATGTTGCCCAGGATGGTCTCGAACTCCTGGGCTCAAGCCACTAGCCCACCTTGGCCTCGCAGAGTTGGGATTCTAGGCATTAACCGCCACACCCAGCCCATTCTCTTCTATTTTAAAAATTAAGTTGCAGTCCTTTGCTTAGTCTTGATCACTTTTACTGACCATTCAACTTCTTTCTGTGCAACATTTCAAATATAGTCTAATTTTTCTGCCTACTTTTCAAGGTATGAGAGTATGGACATCTTAAAGACTTGTGTTAAACTCTCATTTATAAGCCAGGTAACTTAAGAGTATTATCTAACCTCTCTGACCTGGTTACTTCAGCAGTCAACACCTCCATCACCAAATAGCAGTCAACATCTCCATCACCAAATGGTGGCAAAGATAGAGTTTAGCTCGGTGCCTTAGTGTAGGCACACACCAGTGACCCTTGAATAACATGAGCTTTAACATGCATGGGTCCACTTACACACTTTTTTTTTTTTTTTGCCACAACCAAATGTGGGTTAAAAACAGTATTCTAAGGATGAGGAACCCATGTATAGTAAGGACTGACTTTTCCTGTAAGTGGATTCCAGAGGACTTGAGTGTGCATGCATTCTGGTATAGGTGGATTTGTAACCAATCCCCTGCATATACGGAGGGACTGTACATTAAATATTGATGTCCTTCTTTCCTCTTACTGATGTGCTAATATAGCTTCTGTTGCCATAATTCCATAAAACAGCTGCCTCAAAACCCATAGTAATGCCTCAATAAACTATTTGAGTTATTGAACTCAACTTTAATATTTTATTTTCAGCCACATTTGGAACTATTTACTAAACAATTCCTTGCAATAACATCTCCACATCCTAAGATGTTTTTATGTACTTAACTACCCTTCCATAGGCTCCACAAAGACATGGGAAGTAAGTCTTTTCATGACTGTATTCTTGAGCAACTATCACACTGCCTAATTTAAATAAAAGGCATCAATAATATACTTTGAATGAAACAGAGGCATATAAAATATCAGAATCATAACCTTAAGAGATTAAAGAGTTGTTTTTCAAGGGGAATGTACTACAGAGTCACTTTTCTACACTTACTAGTTCATATGAGCTTTTAACAGCCAGCCAAAGAGATTAGTGTAAAATATATTTAATAAAGTCAAAAAGCTTGTGAAAGTCACGATCATTTAACACACTAAGATGTGATGGTTAAGATATTACAACTGAGCTGGACTCATTGGCTTCTATCTGTCACCCCAGCACTTTGGGAGGCCGAGGTGGGCGAACAGCTCGAGCTCAGGAGTTTGAGACCAGCCTGGGCAACATGGCAAAACCCTGTCTCTTAACAACAACAAAAAAGGCGCAAAAATTAGCCAGGTGTGGTGGTGCATGCTTGTAGTCCCAGCTACTCAGGAGACTGAGGTGGGAGGATGGTTTGAGCTGGGGGGTGGGGGGTGTGTGTGTGTGTGTGTGTGCGTGCATGTGTGGTGGGGGTTCCCACAACTCACAACAATGATCTCTGTTACGATGTATCACGAGTATCTGAATTCAGGGATATATTTCACTTCTACTTTTCACTGGTCATAGTAAAGTAATTAATATTAAAATGAGAGTCCCAGTAATATTTAATATAAAGAAAAAGACATAGGTTCTTTCTTTTTTCTTTTTTAAGATGGAGTCTTGCTGTCACCACGCTGGAGTGCAGTGGCGCAATCTTGGCTCACTGCAATCCCCGCCTTCCGGGTTCAAACGATTCTCCTGCCTCAGCCTCCCAAGCAGCTGGGATTACAGGTGCGCACGCCACCACTCCCAGTCAATTTTTGAATTTTTAGTAGAGATGGGGTTTCGCTATGTTGGCCAGGCTGGTCTCAATCTCCTGACCTCATGATCCACCCACCTCACCTCAGCCTCCCCAAGTGCTGAGATTACAGGCGTGAGCCACTGCACCCGGCCCAGGCTCTCCTTTTTAATAAGAGTTCGGTAAAGGGAAAGGAAACACATATCAATCGTAGTAATCATATTATGAAGTACACCCTGTTGCAGAGGTTAAACTAAACTATGAGAGCACTGTCATGGAAGATTAAGACTGCAAAGATTGTAACTTGAAGAAAGAAAAAGGAGCTCCTCAAGGTGGAAATGGAAGATGTGGGAAAACATTAGGCAGAAAGGATCATGAGCAAAAACATGAAGACATAAAGAAAATGATATGTTGAGGCAATTAGTCCTGTAACTTTTGGAGTGGAAATGACACGTGTAAAAAGTAAACCAGACAGAACACTAAAGAACCCTGAAAGCCATTCTAAGGTTTTATCTATCACCTTATCAAGGCAATAAGGAGCTTCTCAGTATCTGTGACATGATCTATATTTGGGTTTCTGAAAGATATCTCTGAGAATGAGACAGACTAGGATAAGGTGGGTGACAGGGAATAAACATAGCATACAGGATAGATAATTCCTGTAATACTCCAAGAAATGACTTAAAATAAGAAAATGATATTAGAAGATAATAAAAACAGAGTGAAAAGGCCATCTCTGAGACAGAACAAATATGACTTTTTAGATATTTTATGATGTAAGTGCTTTTAATAGAGATGTGACAAAGTCTAGGATTCAAGTCACACTGCTCTTTAAAAAATCCTGACAATAACTAGGAGAAATGATTTTATCTAATCCTTGGTAAAAACTAAGGGGTAACAGACACTAAGAAAAGGCAGACAACTGACAGAACTAGGTTCCAGAACAGACGAACCCAGGAGTGAAGGTTTAAGAGTCAAATGGTGACTGGCTGGGCATGGTGGCTCATGCCTGTAATCCCAGCACTTTGGGAGGCCAAGGCGGGCAGATCACTTGAAGTTGGGGGTTTGAGATGAGCCTGACCAACATGGAAAAACCCCGTCTCTACTAAAAATACAAAATTAGCTGGGCGTGGTGACACACACCTGTAATCCCAGCTACTTGGGAGGCTGAGGCAGGAGAATCGCTTGAACCCATAGGCGGAGGTTGTGGTGAGCCGAGATTGTGCCATTGCACTCCAGGCTGGGCAACAAGAGTGAGACTCCATCTCCAAAAAAAAAAAAAGAGTCAAGTGGTGGAGGGGTATGTAAAGTGAAGCTGAAACTAGCTGAAGTAACTGACCACAATTGGAATGTTCTAGTTCTGAATGTCAACCCTAAAAGGTTCTGACTAGAACCAGAATGCAATTAGGCCAATTAGGATTGAGTTTGGAAACTAAGAAAATCGAAGAATGGCCGAAATAGTTGGTGAATAACCTAGAGCAATGGCTTTCATGTTGTCATTTGCGCAAGTGTGGATGCTCTAAGACCCTTTTATGGGGTGCATAAAGTCAAAACTATTTTCAAAATAATAATAAATTACTGCCTTTTCCACTGTGTTGACGTTTGCAACAATGTCACAAAGGCCATAGTGGGTAGAAATACTGAACTCTTCAACACAAATCAAGGTAGGGGCTACTGAACTGCCCTAGGAGTCACTATCTTCTTTACTGGCACTTCTGTATGCACTTGTAGTAAAAGAAAAAAATAACGCCACTTTTATAAAGATGTCTTTGATGAAGCAGTAGAAGTTAATTTATCTCCTTAGAGTACTATTAACATAGTAGCAAAATTAAATCTAGTCTCTTGAGTAAATATTCTGTGTGATGAAATGGAAAGTATGCATAAATCACTTCTGATGCTTACGAAGTATAATGGCTATATTAAAGAAGACACCTGTGTGAGTTATGAGCTGAACTAACTGCTTTTTCATTATCACCTTTGAGAATCTACAAAATGATTACTCAGACTTGTGTATTTGGCAGACAATTTTTTGAAAAATAAATGAAGTCTATTATATAAGGAAAACAGATGAGTTTGTTACAAATAATAAAAATCTGAGAAAATTAAATTTTGGAAAATGACTCCATTGTTATGAGCATGCCAGATTCCTAGTACTTGCATTTTACTGATGAGATCTAAGGTGATATTACCAGATGTCATTTTTTGATACTAGGTAACAAATACAAGTCAGTAATTTGGAAACTTGTATAATTCAATGAATCAATTATTTTTCATTTTGTTGCTCAAGTTCCAATGCTTTCCTACCACCTCTGAATTTTTTGGGGTTTTAAAGTATAAATCATCTATTTCGTCTGTACCTTTTCTTACTTTATACATGTGTGAACAGACATTCACACACTCTAACAGCAGAGGTTACTAAAACACTTTAACTAGAGGCTAACAGATTAATAGCAAATTGAAAAAGATGTGACATATGTAAGCTATCTTTGTCTAAGGTATAACTAACTAAAAAGCAACCTAACCTGTGTCTAGAAGATGAGGGAGTCCTCCTCCTCCTAGAACGTGATCTTGATCTTGAATGCCTTCTTTTTTCTTCTTTCTTATCTATATTTAAAAGAAAAGGAACTCGCATTTAGAAGTCATTAAATAGGGGCCAGACGCAGTGGCTCATCCCTGTAATCACAGCACTTTGAGAGGCTGAAGTGGGAGCAGCACTTCAGTCCATGAGTTCAAGACCAACCTGGGCGATATAGTGAGGCCTCATCTCTACAAAAAATACAAAAATTAGCTGGGCATGGTGGTGTGTGCCTGTGATCCCAGCTACCTGGGGAGGCTGAGCTGGGAGGATTGCTCGAGCCTGGAGATGCAGGGTGCAGTGAGCTGTGATTGCACCACTGCACTCCAGCCTCGGCAACAGAGACTCTAAAAATCATATCAAATAGGAAGATTAATCCCTTTCAGAAGTTATTCTAATAATTTTTCACCTTAGTTTTCAGTTTTTACATACAACCCTTGAATGTTACAAGCAACCATTTTACAACTATGATTTTGACGCTTACTGAAATACTACAAATTATAAATCATCCAAGCTTTTGGTAGATCCAAATTAGACTTCTAGTTCTCAGCTAGCTAAAGGTTCCTTTGACTATTTTACTTGCCAGACTTAAAAGGCTGTGAAATGTTTTCTGTAAAGCAATCTATAAAGAGGCTAAATTTCTCATTCTTTGGCTCTAATTTACTCTTGACAAGGTTCTAAATGAGGGAGTCCCTTTTCCATTCCTTGGTTCTTCACAGATTCAGTATTTGGCCCCCAAATGCAGAAAGTCATGATTCACTCACTGATTTTAGTCCACTTCTGTGACAGAATCAGATTTTAGTAAGCTAGCTCGCTTCCTATTATCTGTTCATCACTCCTCTTACCTACCAATCTTTAACTGTGTAAGTATAGAAAGGGGATCTACAACTACACATAAGGAATTTCTTAACTGGGGACATAACAAGAGAAATAAAGCCACTGTATTCTACACTCATTGACTATCATCAAAGTGAGATTGAGTTTCTTCCACATTTAAGTCATGTCATTAATAGGGTTCAATACATTATGAATGTCATTATCAATAATAAATTCATAAAAATATTGGTAAAAACATCGGTTCATAAACTACATTTAGTCATTTTAGTCATATGTTTTCAATAAAAACAGCAGTTAGAACACGGTGTGTAGTAAACTTTACATAGACCCGGCTGTGCTATCTAAAAGCTCCTATTGCTTGCCATGTGACTGTGGCTAATTATTTGACATTTTATTGGTTAAATAACATAACACATATAAAGCATTTGGTATCAGTTTATCCACTATTATACTTTAAAATTATTTTCCTAATACTAGGCATATTAAAAAACATTCCCATTTATTAAATGAATAAGATATTTATAAGAAAGAAAATCCAGGGCCATAGATCTAAATATATATGGGCAGATAATAATGGTATCTATTCATTTAATCTCAAAAAGACAATCTGCAAAGAAGACAACTAATTTTCTTTAAAGAAATAACACTTTAAAGAGAAGTATTTTCACTAGGTTCTCTTGATCAATGAAAAAATTTAAAATTAGGCTATCTCAACTTAGATAAACATAAATAATTATATCAAGTATTAGATAATCCTGCTGATTTTTTGGACTGGATTAACCATTGCTGTGGAAGGCTGTCCTGTTTGTTGCAGCATATCTAGCAACATGTTGGCCCTTCGCCCTCTAGATACAGTTGGCACTCCTGTGACCACCATAACTGTCTCCAAATACGTCTGAGTGGCACTCAACTATTCAATCTTTTTATCAGAATTTAGAACATTTTAAACGACTGGGGTGTCATTCCACACAATTCCACATGTGAAAGTCATTTTTGCCAAGAATCACACAACAAAACTGCATAAACATTGTTTACCTGGTTCTATAGCAGCAGAAATTAGGGACTGTGCTTCTCGTACTCTTTTCATTGCTTCCTCTATTTCTTTACTAGAGGTATCCGATTTTAGACTTGGTGAAACGAGACCAGCAGCTACATGATTCCACCTGAAACAGAATCAAGAAATGGTATTATCTGAAATATTTTAAAATGCACACCAGCATTTCAAATAAATAAGTATATAATACCATTTTAGCTAAATATTCCTTCAAAAAAACGGAGGGGAGGACTCCATGATAACTTTGGTAAACTACATATAGTATAGCATTGTTTTGAATATTTACAAGTATTTGTTTTAATGACTAAGAGTCATCTGGAATTAGAAAAATACCTTTGCTGAACATCCACTGACTTTCCATAAACAAACACATTTTTAGAAATGCCAGTACAAGAAAATATGCTGATGCTAAGAACTTTTTTTCATATAAATTAAAAATTTTTGGCCAGGTGTGGTGGCTCACAGCTGTAATCCCAGCACTTTGGGAGGCCAAGGTGGGCGGATCATGAGGTCAGAAGATCGAGATCATCCTGGCTAACATGATGACACCCTATCTCTACTCAAAATACAAAAAACTAGCCAGGCGTGGTGGTGGGTGCCTGTAGTCCCAGCTACTCGGGAGGCTGAGACAGCAGAATTGCTTGAACCTGGGAGGCAGAGCTTGCAGTGAGCTGAGATTGCGCCACTGCACCCCAGCCTGGGGGACAGAGCAAGATTCCGTCTAAAAAAACAAAAATAAAATAAATAAACAAAAAAAATTTATGACATAGTAATTTTGCGGAGGAAGAACATTACCTTTTACTCTGTAGATGGGGAGGAACTAAGGCAGAGACCAACGGCCCACCAAAATTACACATGAGATCTTGAGTGGAAAGGGTAAAGATGCCCCTTACAGGTTAACACATGTAAAAAAATATTATAGGCCAGGCACGGTGGCTCACGCCTGTGAGCCCAGCACTTTGGGAGGCCGTGGCGGGTGGATCATGAGGTCAGGAGATCCAGACCATTCTGGCTAACATGGTGCAACCTTGTCTCTACTAAAAGTACAAAAAATTAGCCGGACGTGGTGGCATGCGCCTGTAGTCCCAGCTACTCGGGAGGCTGAGGCAGAAGAATTGCTTGAATCTGGGAGGCGGAGGTTGCAGTGAGCCGAGATTGCGCCACTGCACTCCAGCTTTGGTAACAGAGCGAGACTTATCTCAAAAAAAAAAAAAGAAAACAAAAGATTACAGACACCAAATTTAGTAGTTATTTGTGGGCAGAATGGGAAATGTACTAAATAATGGGTACACAGGAAGCTTCAACTGTATTGGTATTATTTTATTTTATAAGCTGGGTGATGGGTACATGCTTGGTTTTATTTTTAGATAATTTCTAACAAAAAAGGCCACTGACTACTGAAGTCGAACGATTCTGTCCTTCTTTCCATGCTCCCTCACTTACTGATAGGGGCTTTCACCAAGTTAAGGGGAAAAGGTATAAAGTTCAAATTTATCATGCCAAGAAATAACCAGTGAAAAAAACTGATGAATTTGTCACATTATCAAGTCGGAAACAATTTCTGTGACAGCATGAAGAGCACTTATTAAAAGCACTAAGAGAAAATGTTGGCTCTTAATTATATAATATGTAATACTACTTTGCTCTGGGATAGTGATTCCCTCAGCTTTACCTCTAACTCCTACTATCTTCAGGACTCAGCCTCTGATGTTCAAACTAAGTTGTCCCCTTAATAATTCTTTTGCTATCATCCAGGTATAAGTCATTTACAATTACTATTCAAGACTCAAATGACACTAAAAGTATTTTAGAGGGGCTGGCTTACTTCTGTATTTCTCTCCTTGTTTCTAGGTAACAATATATATTGTTTGTCTTGAGAAAGGAAACTTGATAACTTTCTTATAAGCTATCAAAAAAAACTCTAGTTCTGTAGACATTCAGATATCACATCACCAATGAAAACAAAGAAAAAACCCTTACTTGGGATCAACAGTACTCATAAGCTTCAGCAACTGATCTGCAGCAAGAGACTGCAAAAAATAAAACATAAGAACAATGAGAATACATAAAACAATAACTAATATTTTCTGAGTTATGTTGAAATGCCCTGGGACAAACTGCCAAACCTACAAGTATGCTGTAGGCAGAAAACTGAACAACAGAAATCCATGCAAACTAAATGCCGTGAAACATACATTTTTTTTAGTAGCCACATTGAAAAAGAAAAAAGAAAAAAAAAAGAAACCGGTGACATCAGTCGCTACAGTATTGGATAGAGCAGCTTTAGCAAGTTATATAAAGATTATGAGGCTGAACAGTCTTGATATTATACAATTGTCTCCTTTAAGACTTTTTGACATAAAGAAATATGTAAAACTCCAAACAGGTTAGCCAATATAATACAAAAGATCTCTACAAAGTAAGAACTTCAGAAACAAAGGTTAGCTAAATTACAATAAAAGAAAAACTTCCATTATAGAAAAATTATAAACCACATTCCTATCTTTTCATGACTATTTACTCTGACTGTATGACACACTGATAATGTATTGGCTTCTTGTGAACCTATTTTCTATTTTGAACTATATATAAAAAAAATCCATGAACGGATAAGGAGTTAGTCATTCAGTGACTGTTTAAAGCTCTAACAAGTTTAAATAAGAAAAAAATTACTACAATATAGCCATTAGCTCCTGCTCTTGAAATGCAAACCAACAGCAAACAGATTTTCTGTAAAAATGGGTGAAAAACTTGAAGTTGCTAAGTTATACCTGAGAGTTCAAGTTTGCTCCAGGAAGCCCAAGTGCAGCAAGGGCAGGATCAAGAGTAGGAGCCCCCAAAGCAGCCAGTGGAACAGCGCCAATCTGTGAAATGTCAAATTTTATTTATGTAAAGCTTCATTTCAGTTCCTTATACCAGGGGTTAATACTTTTTTAATGTAAAGGGTCAGATAACTTCAGTTTTCAGGCTACATGGTCTCTGGTCTCTGTACAACTACTCAGTTGTACACAAATCCATATGACTACTGCTATCGTAGCTTGAAAGCAGCCAGAGACAATAAACTACACAAATGGCTGTGGTCCAATAACAATATTAATAGAAACAGGGGTCTTGCTCTCTATGACACCCATGTTCCATCCATTACAACACATTTCCCCCCTAAACCCTAGATTAAGACAAAAAGACAAAATATTTCAACATATTCTTGTGCTGATTTTAATTATTTACTGCTTCTCAGGATCAAAATCTACTATTCTTTGCCCTGCTGTTTTGTGATACTGGAGGCAGGACATTTAGAAAGCATTTCTCCTTTGACAGCTGCCATGATATAACACTTCATTTGGAAAGAGTGCTGGAAGGACACTAAGGAAGGGGCTCTTCCTGGTTCCTGTGTCCCGTGATCATTCCTGTACCACCATGTCAAACCCCAGCAGCCTTCACCTCTCAGTGAGTTTCAGTATCAACTCCTTATGCAGCTCCCCAGGGCACCCAAGAGAACTTCTTTATTAGTCATTCTTCCAAAAACAAATCTAAATTTCAGCATAGATGGGGAAAGAGGAGTCCCCTAAACTAAATGGGTTTGTGTTCCTTCTGCTTCAGCCTCAGAGGTAGTGGTTGTTTCTTATACTTGTGATTCCTGTATTCATTAGAGTTCCCCGAGTAATCTCTTATCACTAGTTAGTAATTCCTTAAATGTTCCCTGTTCAAATTACTGCAGGGTTCTGCAACCTGCTTGACACAATTCTGATTAATGCATAATGTAATAGACACAAACCAGGAAAGTGAGGCTGCTTTAAAACCATCTGTAGCTTTTGAAACAGCCTCACTTTCTCCACACTGTGCTCCTTGTTTCAATTTATTTAGTAAATACAAACTATCAAACTTTCTATAATTTAACTGTTTATTCAGTACAGGCAAAATGCTGTGTTAATACTACTTTAACTTACTGTCCAACATAGCTATTGCATACATTAAAGGAATTTAGAAAATTACTCAGATTTGGACTGGGCGCGGTGGCTCACGCCTGCAATCCCAGCACTTTGGGAGGCCAAGGCGGGCAGATCACTTGAGGTCAAGAGTTCAAGACCAGCCTGGCCAACATGGTGAAACCCCACCCCTGCTAAAAATACAAAAATGAGCTAGGCATGGTGGCGCGCCTGTAGTCACAGCTATTTGGGAGGCTGGGGCAAAATCGCTTGAACCAGGGAGGTGGAGACTGCAGTGAGCCAACATTGTGCCATTGCACTCCGGCCTAGGTGATAGGGTGAGACTCTGTCCATCTCAAAAAAACAAAAACAAAAACAAACAAAAAACCCAACAAAAACACAAAAACCAAAAAAAAAAAAACCAAAGAAAAAAGAAAATTACCCAGATCCTCATTTTATAGGTTAAAAAAACCCCTCGGAGTTAAGTGATAAAAGTCACACCCAAAAAGCTTAAGAACTCCTCATCTTTCATTTTATAGTTCACTTCAGTTAAGAGTCAATTAGTCAATTATTTACACAGGCAAAATGATATACTAAAAAGAATGCTTTTATAAATTTCCAGGTGAGGCTCATCATTCACTACAATCTTTGAAACTACTGACCAGTTACAATCTCATCAATTAGAATACACCGTATTTAAAGTGTCTTTTAGTTCTAAAATGGTAAGCTTCCTACAGCATTGTCAGTGTTAGAAACACTATTGCAACCAGTTTTCTTTCATGTTCCCATATCAAACGTCACCACCAAGAATCGCCTTTGTTTTCAAGCCAAATACGTAAAAGTAACAGGAAAAGATAAAGGGGAAGGAAAAAAAAACCACGAAGGGCTCACTTGTGAAATTTGAACCTCAGTTTTCTTTCCTGGTCCAAATGAACACATTTTTAACAGTGTGTTCAGAGAAGTGTTCGTGCCTCATGAGATGGTTCCAAAACTACTTAGGGTTATTTTGAAAGCCAGTGGTAAAAGTGATATAACAGATATTTTACGATTTTCAGAATGTTCTTAAAATACAAAAGTCTAAGAGATCCTCTATACTATTTGTGATTTCGATATAGCCCTTTACAATACTGTACACATGATAATGCTCTCAACTAGAATCTCATGAGTACCTACAAAGCTCAAATATGTTTAGCTTTATCCACAATTCTGTGTTTTCTTCCCCCCCATCTTTTAAGAATTCAATAGAACGAGTACCTGGGTAAGTGGGTTAGGAGTAGGCAGGAGTCCACCACCAGGCAGAAGACCTGCCACTGCATTAGCTGGTGCCAACAGAGACAAAGCCTTAGCTTCATCAGGAATAACTCCTGCAGAGAAACATCCTTGCATTAGAACACATTCTTTTCTAAGACAGAAAACACACAAAAACACCCAGAAAATGTCTCCCTGATACACCACCTGAGTTTGTTGAAAGTACTTATGTTCGCTAAAATACAAAGCTTGATTTCTATGATTATTTATCATTAATTTTATGTCAGAATGAACTTCAATGTGTGAAAATTTTTTCCTTTTTCTCTACAAATGGTTAAGTTTCTAGAGTAAAAAAAAAATAGCACAATACACACTACTTTTTTGTTAACACTGCCAAGATTTCATCACCTGTACTCGATTTTTAAGTCATGAACCAAACGTAAGCAAGCACAGTCGGTTCTCCAGGGGTGTGCTCTCAACTTTCAAAAGCTGTTTTATGAACAACGACTCGTGTCGGCTGCTTCACTATAAAGCACACAGAAAAATCAAGATACACAAGACAAAAAAAGTTTGATTTAGGGGTTAATAATATGGTACAGTTACTATGATTTTCTTTTACACCTACCATACAAATTTTGTAAAAATTAAGAGAAGAAAGTATGTAAAGGAAATATTCTGTTGGAATCAAGCGTAGGGCTTTTGCTGACTCATGAAAATGAATATGAATGTTTCTGAAGGTCTCTGAATACACACAGGATGTGTGCATGGGAGTGAGAGAGAGAGAGAGATAGGTAAAACAACATGGCACATTCCTTACCTGTACAGTAAAATGCTTTATGTTTCGCCATGTGCCATGCTAACCATACCAAAAAATGCTGCTATATAGTGCCAGTTGAAAAGCTAACTTAGCCAAACTCCTTAATCCAAAAATGACATATATATCTGTTTTTAAAGCCTAATCTGTGTACAGATAAAATCTAAGGGTCCTAAAACAAATATTTATGTAGACAATTTAAATTCTATCCAACAGCAAAAGCCCTATACAGATGGATTAATCTGTTAATGTGCCCAAGCCCCCAAAATGAGAGTTCAATAATACAATTAAACTACATATTTGCAAATACCAGTAGTATTTCTGTAATACATATTAAGAAACTGCATCTCATCATAAAACATACAATATGTACAGGGCACTTAAGAGAAACTGGATAAGCTGCAGAAGAAAACTGTTGGGTGGTATTTTCAGCAGGGCCTGGTATATAGTTCAGGCTGAACCAGGGAAAAGAACTGTAAAACACAACAACAAAAAAGAAAAACCACTGTTAAATAAAGGTAATGGTTCCTTCCACCTATACTGAGAAGTGCCGATAATATAAACAAATGTATACTACACAGCACTGTTATCTTGCTTGTGTCAGAGCTGTCATCAATTTAGATACCAAGAGTTATGGAGGGGAAGGGGGAGAAGATCATTTAGATATAGGGCAGTAATGCATCAATATTAACAAACCTACAAAGATTATGGGATAATTTTGCATGCAAAATTATGTCTCAAGAGGATATATTCAGTAACAACATCTTACTCAAATTAGTGCATTTGCAACATTTCTGGCAAACTAAAATCCTCTTGAATTTATTGTGAGACACCTGATAGAAGATCTGCATCCATTAAAAAAAAAAAAAAGTCATGCATCTGATCCTCTGATTAAAAAAAGACTATTTAAAAATAAAACTACAATTTAAAAATAGCAATGAGGCCCCTCACCAGTTAATTTTCATGCGTCAAGAGTATTTTTTTTACTGCTGCTTTGATAGAACCATGAAATACTGCATGAATGTGTAGAAATGAAAGAAAAAGAAACAGACAAAAGAAACAAACATTAACCAAGGAACCTAAAAAATCCCCAAATCCATTACTATTAAGAGTTCCTTCCAAATTAAGCTATCTTAGTTTTACCAGTTAAGACTATTCCTTACCGTAGACTATGTCTACTGTTCTAAAACACTGACCAAGAGCTAACACCAAAGTGTAATAGCTAAATCTGGAGGGAATGGTATTTACTGGAGGTAACATTAATACAGCATATCATACCAGAATTAAATTCACCAACAATAGAATTCTGAATGAAATATTTCCCTAATTCTATATACTGTATATTCCTAAATATTTCACTTCCAAAAATAGGTCCAGAAAAATTACTACGGCCTGAAAATATTTATGAAAGTCATTTATATGATATACTGTATTATGTTCAGGGATTGGGAACTATAATACTTAGCCAATAAAAAATTTAAATTTACAGGCTAACCAAAATGTTTTACATATTACTCACATGATTTGACCCTTGTTCCAAGACCTATACTCTATTTTATTCATCCTGAATTTGAATTCTGTAAATTTTCTGTTGATGGTCTTATCCTACAACAGGCACACTGACATAAAAGAAATTGCTTAACCAAAACACACTAACTCAAAAATTTATCTATCTATATATTATAAAACCTTAAAACTTGGCTGATACACTTTAATATCATGGAGACAGAGGTAGTATTACATAACATGCCTTAATCCATTTACAAATATAATTTCTTTAAAAAAACCAGAGGCAATTTCTCTAAGGGTTAAGGACTAGACATTTCACAACTTTTACAAAGTATGGTGTAAATGTTCACATTTGTATTCAAAGATTTCAGATAGCATTATCAAGATTCCACTTCCACTGACCAGTTTATTAAGGAAAGGGGAAAGCATTTAAATCCTGGTCAGCATATTAAATTATTAACTTAAAATCCAGCAGTTTCATCATATTTCAATGATTCGAGTAAAATTTATAGTTACCAAAAAGCAAATCAAGCAGCAGTACATTGGGAACAAACTAATTATGAAATACGCCTTAGAAAATGTTACAAAATGGTATTAAAATTTCTTGTCACAGTGGCTTTTTAGATCCAAAAAACCTGCTCATTTTTTTTCTGTCAAATTACTTTAACAGCCTAAAATGTAAAAAGAGAGAAAATGTAGTTAACAAATGGTTACACCAGGAAAACACTTGGGGCACTTGAGTGCTTGCTGGCCTTTAGTTAATGTCTAGAATCCCCTGTAGCTGCAGAGGACCCACTGTTTTTCAGGCATCTGGAAGGGTTTTGCATTTGCCTTCTCCACTACAAAAATCACACACACAAATAACAGAGAGAAGAATTTATTATTTAGAGATATTCTAGAAATATAGCAAGAATGAACAAGAAAATCTGGCATAAATAAAACACCCAGTGCCCATTTGGCACCTAAGCTACAGGAAATCTTGAACTTTCACGAAAACCAAAATCGTTGTAACCCTTGGTATACTGAAATTCAATGTGGTTTTTTTTTTTTTTTTTCCGATTATCAATGTGAGGAAACTTTAAGAAAATAAAATCAACCTACTCATTTATTTAAAACAGAAATAACATCATGCATTTATTTGAAGGCTCTGTAAGCATACATGGAGTGAATCATTTACTCTCAGGGCTTTTTCATAAAACTCAACATTAAATTAACTAAGTAGATGTATCTCAGGGTGTTACAATAAGGGACATGGTTTTAAACAACTTAAAAATGTTTTAAAAGAAAACAAAAGGTAAATACCTTATAATAACAGACTTAATTTCTCATTTTTAGAATTAAAAAAATCTGCAAGCAAAAATTACGGACTGCAGTATAACAAGGGTTTAAAAATGTTAATAGCTTAGATTTAACATGCTACTAATGCTCACTCTATATTTACTGAGGTAGATGGTCATCTTTGGATGCCCACATAGGTAGTTAAACAAAGCACAAACCTTCTGCATATGGTACGACTATCAAAGCTCTGTCAACGAATACAGTATTTGTCAGATGCTGTGCCACAACTGCTGAGTCTGGATCATGGAACTTAACAAAGCAGACACGAGATGAGACTGGCAAAGGTGAATCACTAAAAAATAAACAACATAAAAGAGAAACAGAGTATCAGTTAAAACAAATGCTAATTCACAAACCAACACATTTCAAAAGTAAAACAGATAAAAAAAAAAAACCTAACTGTATACTAACGTAGTTAAATTCAAAAGAAAACACTCTCAATAATATACTCTTCATTGAAATAATGTAGTGAATTGCAGTTCAGATAAAAACTTATAATCACAACTTATATTTACAGGGTATCAGGTTAAAAACAGTTTGGTACTAAAGTCTCAGAGACTGAGGGGACCACAAAATTGTCAGCAGTTTCTTTCATAATACTAATACCAGCTATTTTTAGATACAGGTAACAGTAGTTTGGGTTTAGAAACTTCCTTATGGCTTTCTCAGAGTAAGAAAGATGAACAATTTTTACGTCAGGGACAAAAGAATATCAGGAGAAAGAACATGTACTCAACAATCAATGAGTTTTCTTGAACTGCATAATAAACAGGTCCCATGCCCTGCGCTCTTTCACCCACAGCATATAAGAACTCTTACGCACTATAAATAATCAAGGATTTCTGGCTTGGAGCACTTTCAGATAAAAGAAAAAATTTAGGTACACATGGAAGTAGTACTATGCTTCACTAGTGCTACCTTGTAAAGTTTCAATAAGCAAAAGGGCCAGTTCCCTCAGCAAATTACTTCCTTAGGTAAAGAAAGACAAGTGCTAAATGGCAAGCTATGGCAGTGTAGGTAAGATAGGTAACACAGGAAGCAGGGTTTTTTTCAACTGTTAAGTTACAGGGTAGTTCAAATTTCTGCCTTGAAACTCTGTGCAAGAATGCAGGGATGACTCAAGCCCATACCAAAAGTTATTTGGAAAGCTAGTGCCCTAAGGCAGAAATAAACACACCATCCCTAGTTAATACACTCTAATGTATATTAGAGTCATGGGGAGGGGGGAGTTGGGGGTAATTCACACTCTTCGATCCACATCAATTAAATCACGATCTCTGATGAAGTTTGAGCTCTTTCTCCTTTAATTCTCTCTGACAATTTTATGCACCTGAGGTGCAAAACTACTTCATTGTAACATTAACATAACACATCAAAGGACTCATTAATGAAAAGGAAAATCCTATTTTAACACTATCTGAATGAGGCTTCAGTTTCTAACAAATGAAACACACTCATGTGTACATAAAATTGCATTGCATCAGATTTAGTTATACTAAGAATTTCAGATTCATTGTTGAAAAATAATTTATTTTAGGCCTAACAAAAAACCCCACAATTTTTAACATGATGCTATACATGGCCTGAGAACTCAAACCCATTACAACTTCTGATACAAGTTTCCCTACAAGGATCTCCCAGGCTAAGCACAGACCCTAACCCAAGATCAAAGCAAAATTAACAGGGTATCCACAAGCAAGTTAAGCTACCTTGTTATATAGGCTCACTGTTGAATGTTTCTTAAAGAATACAGTGGTTTTTAGATGTGAAACACTGCTGGTATAAAATTTAACAATGTTGCACCTGCAGTAGTAAAAAGAATGTTTTAGCAATTTCTCCTTAAAGAAATAGGAGGGGTCTTACTATGTTGACCAGCCTCCCACTCCAGATTCCAAAATAGATGGGGCTGCAGGTGTGCCTCACTGTCAAGTACTTTAGCAGGTTTAGTAGGCTATGGCACTTCACATTTCTTTGCTGACATCCATGTTTCCATCACTAAATTACCAAGCTCTTTTAATGCTATCATCTCTAATCTTAACACCCAACACGATAGTGTTGGGAAATAGCGGGCACTTAACACTTCTTAAAAACTAGCCTCTACCAATTCTTTAACACTTTTTATTGTTATCTTATGAAAAGAAATGACTCCAAATATGGTATTTTTAATGAACAGTTCCTTAGGAAAAAAAAATACTGCCCCCGTGCTCAAATTGTATTCTTTATACTTGGCAACCTTAAAGGGCCTCATATTTTTTTTCCTACCCATTAATATCATAGGAATGCTCCAATTATTTTGGCTATCTCAAAACCTGTTAAGAGATGGTACGGTACAGACTAAATATGAATTTGAATACTATGAATAAGATAGTAATTCAGAAAGGAAAATATAATTTCATCTCTCTCCACTTCAAATGGCCTCCTTTAGATGGATTTAAAACAAGTTTTTGTTAGTATCTGGGCCCAGAATTACATTCTTAATTAAAATTTGCCTTTTTTTTTTTTTTTGAGATGGAGTTTCACTCTTGTAGCCCAGGCTGGAGTGCAATGGCACAATCTCGGCTCACCGCAACCTCCGCCTCCCAGGTTCAAGTAATTCTCCTGCCTCAGCCTCCCGAGTAGCTGGGATTACACGCATGCGCCACCACATCTGGCTAATTTTTGTATTTTTAGCAGACACATGGTTTCATCATTTAGTCAGGCTAGTCTTGAACTCCTGACCTCATGTGATCCACCTGCCTCAGCCTCCTAATAAAATTTATCTTAGTAAGATAATATAAGATAGAGGACTGATGCCTGAAATTAATTTTTGTGCTCTAAAATTCTGTGGAAGTACTGCTTCCAAATATGACATGTATTTTACTCTTTATCTCTTAAAAATTAATATAAAGTAGGGAGAAATGAGGAACAAGATAGGTAAAGTGAGTCCTGCATGCCACTTCTGTCCTCCATGACTGGCTGTACAGTTTTTAACAGTTCTTACGTGTCCTCTGAGGGCTATTTCAGAATCTTCTAGGCTATATACAGAAAACCGAGATTTCTGTTGTTCACCTAAGGTCTGTAGAGAATCTTTTTTATGTGAAGGCCCAGATTCTTAACATGGTATTCATGCCTACTAACATACCAGAATTTCAGGTTTAGGCCACTGATATCAGCCTTTCAACTTCCACCTTAATAGTGTGCTAAGTGGAGAATTTTGAGCTCATAAATGAAAGTATCTCCAAAACCCAAAAAAGGAGGTGTATGACAAAGAGGACATTAACCTGAAAACTTGACTGTTGACCTCATGTGCCCCCTCCTCACTACATAAAGAAATATACAGTAAAATGGTACATTTATTAAAACCATTTTTTCTTTAAAGATGCACTAAACTCTTTCCCTTACCTAATATACTAATTTATACTTATATGACCATTAAAGTATCCATTTTGGGTCACTGAAAAGTTACTAATGAACTTCAATTTATCTCGGTATTACAGCAGCCTTAAGTTACTGCATAGCTGTGACATACTTCACTGGGATCATTACCTGATACCTGATAAGCACTTTGCTGGGCAATCCCACTAAAAGAAAGCATGTGAAGATCTTACAAGTTACTTGGCTAAATCAACAAACTCCTGATCAAGTGGTAAAGGAGAGTCACAACTTGGGTTCGAGGTCTAGTTCTGACACTGGCAGTATGGCCTGGGCATACAAAAAATACCTATGTAAATTTCAGTTCACGAACTTGTAAAACAGGGTCAAAAACATTTTTTCCTCTGGGTTTGTAAGGATTAAGATAAATTTAGAAAGCAAGTAACTCACAATAGACATTCAAACAATGCTGCATTTCCAATACACATTTCAGAAACAACCAGAATCAAAACAGTTTAACAAGAGTATATGTGGGGTACACTGACAGATGCTTTCAAATAGCTGCAGAGCCATCATGCTGTAGAGAGGGTTAGAATATCCCCTATTGTAAAGATAGTATCTTTATTTCTCAGTGAAATTATAGGCCAGAAATTCTGGTTTAAAAGAAGGAATAGATGGATTTAACAATGACAATGCAGGAAATCACCTTGAGCAGGTTGTCACTGAAATGTCTGTCATAATCCTGGAAATATTTCCCCAAAATAGGCATTCAGAACCAAAATGAAGAGTTTCAGTAGGTGTGGGTGAGGTTCAGTCATATATGTATTTTAAAGCACCTCAATATTCTACAGGAGAGAAGTTGTTAAACTTAACCTGTCAACTGGTGACAGGTGTTACAGAAAAAAAGTAGTGTTAAGTAGAATAAAGCAGCAGCAGAGGTGCTTTATTTTACACAGGGTGGTCTGGGAAGGTTTCTCTGATTAAAGTGACATTGGAAAAACAAAAGTAGTTAAGCATGTCACAGATATGTCTAGGGGAAAAAGAGTTACAGGTGCATGTCACCGCCTTCTTGGGGGAAATCACAGTTTTCCCTCAGTATCCATGGTTTCAGGACTCCCTGCAGATAACAAATTCCAGATGCTCAAGTCTCTTATATAAAATGATGTAGGGAGGGGGAAGATGTGGAGGAAAAATAAAATCATGGCGTATTACCTGTGCACATCCTCTTGTATACTTCAAATCTCTTGATTACTTATAATACCTAATACAATGTAAATACTTGTACTGTTTAGGGAGTGACGACAAGAAAAAAGTCTGTACATGTTCAGTACAGACGCTCTCTCCTATTTTCAATTCACAGTGGGCTGAATCCATGGATGTGGAACCCAGAGATGAAGAAGGCCAACTGTGTATCGATACTAGTTACAATCAGGTGACCTGTTCACAACAGACAGAATTTTATGTAATCTGAGCCATTCAATGTTACGAGTAAATATTTTTGGAATGGTGAACCCTGTGGACCACTGGGAATCCACAGCACATTATCCCTGGCAAGTTTACTGTTGAAAGCTCTACTAAGTTGATAGAAACTACCAACAAAGTATATGCAACTTGTGCAAGTCAGATTAGTTTATTGAAACTTATAGTTAAAAAAACCAAAATGCAACATCAAGTAAATAAAAGTAGCCATCTACATTACTGATCAAATGTAGAATGCCACTAGTAACATTTAACTTATTGTAACCTCGTACATTTTAAAAGACAAAATGATCTTGTATGTGGAAAGATGAGTCAGAGTAAAAATGTGTCAATTTATCTCTCTTTCTCTCAATACGGGGAAAGGAGTCCTTTTAATGCAGAGTATCCAGATCATATAGTTTAGGGAGAAATTCTCAAGCACACACTAGCTGTCCTGGTTATGAAGGAACTACTCGTTTGATTACAAAACAGAAAGACTCTGGTCCATCACAACTTCCTCTAAGATACTGGTCATGCATTAGGTAAAAGATGAACCAGTATAATGCCTACATCTCTCTCATCTTTTTTTCTAAATGCATCATAAAACTGCCTTCAGAGAATAAACAGCATTTAAAAGTCAGCAACTATAATAAAATTCCTGTAGGATTGGAAAGAATTGTCATAAATTGAATACTTCAAATATCCCACTAATAAAACGATTAAAATCATCCAATGTATCAGTATTTTCTGCTATTTTATTGTTAATTTTACAAGCTTAAAACAGTAAGTCTTGAGAAAACTGAACAACAGCATCTATTTTTGTATGTTCATATTATGAAAGCTATTTGTCCTTCATTACCAAATCAAGTATCTATCAAAATAACAGGAATAAAAACATATGTGTTTGTTCCCAGAACTCCATGGCATGCTATACTAAGTAAATCCTCTCCCCACATGTACATTTCCCTAAAAATTAGCAACATACCAATTTGAAAACACCAACAATCTTTGAAAGTATTTTAAGTGGAAAGTGATGAAATATGTTAATACTTAACAAATATCTCATTATGATAAACTTTTGTCAATTATTTTATTGAGCAGAAAGTTAATGATTACCTGTACCGTAACAGTAGATTCTTAGAGAATTCCAATTTCCTGTTTAGTATTTAAGTGACATCATAAAATTCTCAATATATGGTGTTTACTGACAATGACACTTGAATTGTCACTTCTCCGCCAATAAGTCTTCCAAAAAGCAGAAGACTATTATTTTTATTCCAATTGTCTGTTTTAAAAGTACACCTTATCTTACTTCATAGCTTAACTATTTTTTCTTTACAATTAATCCATTTATTTAATATTCTTGCGATAGAAATAATTTTCAAAATAAAAGTGAAACGAAAGGATAAAAAGTCATACACTCTAATTCACATTTCAACATTTATAAAAATTCTTCTCAAGAACAACTGTGAAATATCACAAATCTGTGTGTTATTCAAACAAAGGAAAATCTCTGGTTTCAGATATAACCCGTTTTTTGACATTATAAAAATTAAGTAATCAGGCTCACTAAAGTAAGCGTCTGTCAAAAAGAATAAGATCTTTGAATTATATTGCTGGGCCAGAACCATATAACAGGAAGAGCAGTAAATGACCAACAACCTACAAAGTTCAACACTAAATTAACACAGGCATGAATAATTTTGTTTTCTTTCTTCCAAGAACGCAAAGAAAAAACACTCAGTTTTTTAAAAAGGGGATTTAACCTATATACGCGTACAGAGTGCAGTTAGTCTTGTGTTAAGTCCGCAAAGCCAAACGACCACGTTGGCACTATTTAGGGCAGAAAAAAAAAAATTCCCGAGAATAAGAGTCAGAGTTGCCTAATCCCAAAATGCCCTGGCCCTGCCTCTCTACATTTTTTTGCAGGCCTGGAACACAACCATCTTAAGTAAATGCAACAGCCACCAGCCACTCAAGCAGCCTGGCCCGGGGACGCAGCGACAGAGGCCTAAGGAAATTGTGTGTGTGTTAGGCCTAGGCTGAGGCGGCGTTAGCAGGAACAGTGATGGTGGACGATACTCACTCCGGCGGGAAGAGGCGCAGTTCGTCGATCTTGCCTAGGAAACCGAAGAGAGTCCGCATCTGCTCAGAGCTAGCGCTCGGGGAGACATTAGTCACCTGGATTACCTCGGTGCCGCCGCCTCCGCCGCCACCACCTCCGCCACCGGGCCCGCCGCTGGGGCCCGGACCTGCAGTGCTGGGGACGACGGTAGTGTTGCTCATGGCGCTGCTCGGGTTCTCGCTCCTGCTTTAACACATCAAACACACAACAAACAGTGAGAAGGAGGGGGAAGAGGAACCGGTTCGCGGGAGAGAGGAGGGTGTCCGATGCTACAGCCTCTGCTTCTGCTGCCGTTGCCGCCGCCGCCGCCGTTTCTCCGCCCCGCTGCACGCCGCGGGGGAGGGGAAGAGAGCGCGCGAGCTCGAGACCACGAGAAAACAAACGGCCACCCCCCCTTGCCTCCAACTACAGCACTAGCGGGCCCGAGCTCCCACAATGCCTTGCGGCGCAGGGCGCGTCAGCGTCGCCTCTACCCCGCGCAGGCCCAGCAATCCTCGCCCGCAGCCCGAGAAATGTGAGGCACCGCGGTCCAGAGAAAGGCGTTATCCACCTTCGTCTCTCGTTTTTTTCTTTTTCTTTGGAAGAGAGAAGAGGCACGTATAAACTTTTGTTTTTAAAAAAACATTCATCCCCCTGCAAAAAGTCACTTCAGCAACTATTCTTACTAAATGCTGCGCACGATATGTCTTCATATACTGATAATCATCTACAGATCTATCCAATTACTAATGATATTTAAACCCAAGCTAAGGTGCCACCCCACCACCACCACTATAAAATGTCCCGGAATCTTAAATGTATCATGAATTTCGGTAACATTAAATCTGTAACCAATTTGTTTTGTCACAAACTTTTAGAAAGGATACATTTTAATATTACACTTACTAATAAGCGTTTTGTACATTTATTCATAATGAATGACTTTTTTTTGAGTGACTTTTCTTTTTCTGGTCGCCCTGTCGCCGAGGCTGCAGTGCAGTGGCACCATCTTGGCTCACTGCGACCTCCGCTTCCTGTGTTGAAGCCATTCTCCTACCTCGGCCTCGTGAGTAGCTGGGATTACAGGCGCCTGCCATGACGCCCGGCTAAGTTTTGCATTTTTAGTAGACATGGGGTTTCACCATGTTGGCCAGGCTGGTCTCCAACTCCTGACCTCTGCAGATCCACCCGCCTTGGCCTCCCAAAGTGCTGGGATTACAGGCGCGTGAGCCACTGTGCCCAGTCAATTTCACAATAGCTGACTTTTTGGAAACACAGTTTACAGTACTTAAATATATTCAACTATATATTTCTAAAGAAAATACTGCAATTTCTCAAGAAAAACTTGTTTCACATACATATTCTTGCTTAAAATAATTTTGAAGCTTTTGACTATTAAAAAAATCCTTGCCTTAGTTTTCAACCTCATCTGAACTATTCTCTCAACTGCATCCAGCGTGTAGGCCAGTGACTTGTAGTGCCCCAAACATGACAAAAACCATAATATCTCTGTGCCTATATACCAGGTATTAATAACATCATTCATCTGTCATCTTCTGTAGAGCATTCCTTCCCTCACTGCTATGACTTCTGCAAGCTGTTAAGGCTTCCTCTTTTCTGCTAAGTAACAGAAGATACATATATTTATTACTGACATGTATCACTCAAAGTTGTGAGCTTCCTGGGTCAGTCCAGAACCTGGCACAATGTCTGTCACACAGTCAGTCCCAATACATGTGCTGGACACATGCACAAACATACCTTAATGACAATGTCATTTAAGACAGTTCACTAAATAATTTACTTGACCTTGAATGTTTTTAGAGGTAAAACTTTTAGAGGTTTTAGAGGTAAAAACAACTTGAAGCCTTACATTAGTGAATACTTCTTGGCACAGTGCAGTCAAGATGCAATATGTGAGAGATTAGAGCACAAGGTTATTGAGATTTGGATGTAGAGCCAACTGGCTGACTTTCACTAGTGCTTATACAGAAAATGGATGGATGGATTGAATGTGAGCCTCAGCAAAATTACAAATTATGGCCTTCATAGAAACCAACTAGCATTAGCTAGAGCCAAGACTTTTCAGAATTTTAAAGAAAAGCATATAGTTGTCCCTCAGTATCTGTGGAGGATTGGTTCCAGGACCCTCCCACAAATACCAGAACCAGAGGGTGCTCAAATCCCCTATATAAAATGGTATTGTGTAACAGTGCATTTGATCTGTATCCATGGGCTCCATGTATGTGGATTCAACCAACCTGGGACTGAAAATATTTGGGAAAAAATTGATGGTCTAAACATGTACAGACTTTTTATTTCTTGTCTAACAACTATTTACACAGCTCTTACACTGTATAATTATTAGTATAGAGATGATTTAAAATATTTGAGAGGATGTGCACAGATTATACACACTATACTATTTTACATAAAGAATTTGAGCATCTGTGTATTTTCGTATCCTCTGGGTCGTGTTATCAATTCCCCATGAATACTCACCTCAGGACTGGTACGACTGTATTTGCACATAATGTAAGCACATACTCTCATACTCTTGAGTAACCCTTATCTAAAATGCTTGGGACCATAAGTGTTTTGGATTTTTAAAAAACATTTTGGAACATCTGCATTATATTTACTGATTTAGCATCCCTAATCCTAACATTTAAAATCTGAAATGCTCCAATAAGCATTTACTTTGTGTCACGTCAGTGCTCATAAAGTTTCAGATTTTTGAGCATTTTGGATTTTGGTTTTTTGGATTAGGGATACTCAACCTTTAATACTGAATACAATGTAAATGTTATGTAAATAGCTGTTATACTGCATTTCTAAAAACTTTTATTTTTAATGTCATTATTTTTTTATTTTTTGAATATTTTTGATAGGGGTTGGCTAAACCCAAGTCTGTGGAACACATGGTATGGAGGCTGATTGTACAACTAACTGCATGTCACTCATAAATATCTGTGAATACGAAGAATGGTAATTCATTTTCTCATTCTGAATCAGACATATGTAACTGCCAGTTACAGATTCTTAAATAGTTTAACATTTATTGTGAGTGCCTACTATATGCCACGCATGCTAAAATATTTGATGATAAAAGGACAAATAACAGAAGGTCAGGGTTCATGCCTTTTTCTTTTTTTCCTTAAATGTTAACACTTATTTATTCTCTGTGATGGGTACACATAAATCTTTTATATGACTCTACATTTTTCTGTATGTTGGACACATTTCATAATTAAAATTACAAATTCAAACCAAAGAAAAAGGTAGTTGTAATAAAATCCTTTAAACCACCAGAAGCCAATTTATGTACAATAACTTACTGAACAAATAGATGACACTTTGCTACAGAGAAACTAGGTGGCAAAAAGTTCATTCAAATGAGGAGGATTTTAAAATATTTTATTTTCAAATCATTTAGCAGCTACCAAAAAAAAAAAATTACTGAATTTAAAGTTAGAAGGCTGGCTTAAAGTGCCAGCCCTGCTGGCCAGGCGCAGTGGCTCATGCCCAGCACTTTGGGAGGCTGAGGTGGGCAGATCACGAGGTCAGGAGATTGAGACCATCCTGGCTAACATGGTGAAACCCCATCTCTACTAAAAATACAAAACCAAAATTAGTTGGGTGTGGTGGCAGGTGCCTGTAGTCCCAGCTACCTGGGAGGCTGAGGCAGGAGAATGGCGTGAACCCAGGAAGCAGAGCTTGCAGAGAGCCGAGATTGCGCCACTGCACTCCAGCCTGGGCGACAGAGCGAGACTCTGTCTCAAAAAAAAAAAAAAAACCCCACACACAAAACAACAAGCAAGCAAACAAAAAACAACCAGCCCTGTCTTTAAGCATGTGATTTGAGGAAATTTCACTTAATTTCTAAAAATCTATATCAGTTTGTCAGTCAAATGAAGAGCTGAATCATAATTTTGAAGATTCTTGTAGGTCTAATAGATTAAATAATTACATTAATGTCTGTTTTATATAGGAATAAGACATATACCTAAAGACAAATGACAAATACATTAAAGCAAATAAATATAACCAATTTATGAGTTTTAAATCACTTCAGATTTATTTAGGCTCACAATTAAACAGGACTATAGAAAATATAGAATCTGGAGACAGGATTCATGCCTGTTTTATTCACTGTATCTACAACATCATTAAGAGGCAGTCAAAAAACTCACAAATTTCTTCAAATATTATGTACCTAACTGTATTCCAAGGATTTTCCTAGCTGCTGGAAATAGAGTAGGGAAAAGGAAGTGAATGTCCCTGATATCATAAAACTTCAGGTCTAGCATGGCAAACTTTCAATATAAAAACACAGCCAGGTGCGGTGGCTCACGCCTGTAATCCAAGCACTTTGGCAGGCCGAGTTAGGAGGATCACCTGAGGTCGGGAGTTCGAGACCAACTTGATCAACATGGAGAAACCCTGTCTCTACTAAAAATACAAAATTAGTGGGCCATGGTGGCGCATGCCTGTAATCCCAGCTACTTGGGAGGCTGAGGCAGGAGAATTGCTTGAACCTGGGAGGCAGAGGTTGCAGTGAGCTGAGATCGCGCCAGTGCACTCCAGCCTGGGCAACAAGAGCAAAACTCCATCTCCAAAAAACAAAACAAAACAAAACAAAACCAGAAACAAACAAACAAAAAACGCACAAAAAAACCCCACAAAGATGAAAGGAGTGATGTGTTGTGATGACATGAAATAGGACAGGGGATGGCGGAAAAAATGTTATCTGCTGAGACCTTACTAAAAGGAAGAAACAAGCCATTTGAATTTCTGGAGGAAGAGTATTCCAGACAGAGGAAATAACAAATTAGAAAGACCCTAAGGATACGAACAAGTTTGAAGCTTTCAAGAAAAGACGACCACTCTTTGTGAAGTGAATGCTTTCCAGTTTATATTTCAGAGACAGACTTAGAAATCTTGTCATGTGGAAAGCGAAGTGAAGGAAGTATGCACAGAGAAGGTTCAATTAGCTCATCTTTGAACATAAGTAAGGGAAAGCTTCTAGTTACCTATAAACGATCATTATCATCAATTTTATTATGAGTTAATGCAGCTAGGTATGGTGGCTCATGCCTGTAATCCCAGCACTTTGGGAGGCAGAGGTGGGTGGATTGCTTGAGCCCAGTTGTTTGAGACCAGCCTGGGAACGCAGAGAAACCCCATCTCTACAAAAAATACAAAAAAGTTAGCTGGGTGTAGTGGTGTGCACCTGTGGTCCCAATTACTTGGGAGGCTGAAGTGGAGGATCACCTGAGCCTGGGAGGTCAAAGATGCAGTAAGCTGAGATCATGACACTGTACTCCAGTCTGGGTGACAGAGTGAGACCCTATCTCAAAAGAAAAAATAAAGTTAAATAACCTATCATTTGGCCTATAAAGTTACATTATGGAAAAGTGCATGATTTCTGATAGGCTTTTGAAACAC